GGTGTGGTGTCGATAGTACCAGGAATTGAAACAATGGCCTCAACGGCCATCGATGCGGCTCTATTGGCTTTTGATTTGAAGTATGCGAAACATGAACAACACATACATGAAGAAGAACAAAGACAAGCAGAAATGGATCATGGTAGTGAACTATAAAGTTGTTTGTTCTAAATAAAAGAAAGAACACGAAACACTCTTACTGCTGTGCCAGGTTACAAAAGTGGGAAATCCCTTTTAACTTTTGAACCATACGGTATTTTAATTCCAAACTTTGTGGAAATAATGTAAATGGAAAATGTAGGTTCTGACAAAAGTGTCAGCCCATGGGTGTGTGTCGTGAGATAGCATAGCTACGGGCCATTTAACGTTTTCGGTTACCATGTGCCATTGGATCCCATTTTCGAACAAGATCCGTAAGTTAGACATAATGCGTTAGTTTCGCTCTAGATTTTCGAAAAATACTCACCTTGAACCCGGTACTGTGGTTAAGGTTTGAAGAAAAACGTTCCTTTATGAAATGGGTAATTAGAAATATGCACATATCTCAGGGATCTCATGCTCGGAGAATGCAACCGCTTGCCACAAGAGAATCATACATAATTTTCCTTACATCTTGAAATAGCTTTTGAGCCTCTTTCCAGTCTACTTACACGATGTTTTACTTAAACATTTCTTCGAGAACATCGTGTAATCAACTGTTGGTATAGAAATATCTCAGGTCAGGTTTCATCCAGTGCCCTCGCATTACGAAAGTCCGGTAAAAAGTAAGGCTTTTGTAACACGTTAAAAAGACATAAATTAAAAAAAACAGGGCTTTCGCAAAGATACTGCAAAGGGATTAATGTCTACGTAGACACTATGACAGGGCTTCCGTAACGAAGTCTGTGTGTACTTTTTACGGTAAAATAGTTGAAGATTAATGTCCTTGTGGCCTTTGTAACGAATTGTATATTTACTTTTCAAGTTGAAATGATGTGTGATTGCACTCATTCACTCTCACTGTTTCTGTCTGCTTTCTCTGTCAATTACAATAAGAAGTAACATTCGTTACGACAGCCCTGTAATAATACAGTATTATCATTTATATCTGGGATAAAAAGTATATATATGTTCCGTTACGAAAGCCGTGTAAAAGAGTCTTACGAAAGCCCTGTAAGAGCATCTACTAGAGATTAATCCCTTGCATTATCGTGACGAAAGCCCTATGACTGATCTTAGTAACTGACTATTTCATAGAGAGGATATTACCCGATTAATAGTGTTACGAAGGCTCTGTGAAACGAGGGTTTTCGGAACGAAAGCCCTATTATTCTTTTAGTACGGAAGCCCTGTAACAAAGGAGGGATTTAGATGAAATGCCATCATATCTCATTCTAGTAAGAGAGGTTTCTTGTGCATTGGAACGTATGAGTCTCATGACAAATAGTAGATGTACCTAGTTAGCCAAAACGTATCCAGGAAAGGAAATATATGAACATATTTGACTATTTCCACAAGATAATTAAAGCTTCTGCAGCAACAAAGATACTGAACAAATCTAAAAAGTTATTTATCCTGGTTAAAGATAGTGATGTTACACGTATATCACACAAAAATGTTATTGAATTCCAGGTAACGGTACTTTTCTAGCGAAAATCCCACAGGATTTCCGCCTGTTTCGAAGGTTCTTGGCCCTTGACCAAAACCTGTCTTTCTAATAGCCCACGTCGAGTACATGCGAAATATATGTCATCCCACGTCCTGCAATCCTGTAGAATGGTGCAGCGCGTAAAGTGCTCAAACTTTGAAAAGCGAGGAAAATCAACTCTAAAAGTTGTTTTTCTAGTATTAAGTGTTTTCTAATCTCAGCTCGAACCACTTCATCAGATAGAGCTTGAAAAGACACGTCGGATATATATCTTGTTGTTTTGTGTTGATATGATTTTATGGACATCATCCGGAAATCGCCGTCGCCGCGGATTCTTATATGTTAAAGTGTTAAAGTGTTAAAATGTAAAAGGATAAACGTGCATAACTGAGGGTGAAGTAGTGAGGATGAGGGTGGAGCACTTCTTCACCCACTTCACTCTCACCTCTCAACCCTCACCCTCACTCGCCGCGAGTTCATATATGTTAAAGTGTTAACGCTAAAGTGTTAACACTTTAACACTGAATCCGCGGCGACGGCGATTTCCGGATGTTATGATTTTATGAGGAAAAATGGTTTTTAAAGAAAATCGACTTTTCGGAAAAAAGGATTCTTTTAAAAATTTTCCTGAGAACGTGCTTAACATTTTGGAACATTTTGTCCACTAGTGATTTTGTAGCTCTGCACACATAAAATCTAATCTGACGGTACCAGCTCATGAAAGTGTTCCACCAGAAAACGGCTACAAAAGGGCTGTTTCTTCTGGAAATGAGATTTCCACAGGTCTAGAAGACCACCATGCCATTATTTTAACTTCTTTTAAACTCGATATTCGTCGTAAGCAGCCCGAGTTGTACTAGTTCTGTCACTCTCGAACAATTCGGACAACGTCGATGTGAACATGGTACATTTTCTGAAGAATAACCCTATTGTTGTTAGCACGAAATACTGCGTTCATCTTACGAAGAAACTTTTTAGAAATTCAGATAGCTTGCTAATGTTATCGAGAGCCGATATTGACGTTGCTATCAAAACGAAGGGACTGTTGCATTTCGTTCAATATATTTATGCGTATCGCAATTTTTTGGATTTATAAGCAGGTGTAAAGTGACAATCAGCCTAGTAACCAGAACGATGTCGCGTTGTTAGAAGATAGAGAGGAAGTTTTGAATTAATAGACTCAGATTTTGTGTTGTTTGCAGGCCAAAATGTTACGCAAGAGTTCAGACAACCTAATGCATTGACTTTGCTGAACAATCCGGCCCGCATGGATTATCTAATACATGTGAACTTCAACGATCTGAAAATGACTCTGATGCATTTGCTGTTGTGTTCCATCGGTATTTTAACATCCAAAAGCATTCAAATTACATGCCGTATATTCGACCACAGATGTTAGACCAAAAGGTTCGGTAAAGCTAGATAGTAGAAGAAAAGCCTATTAGGGACTTTTCAGACCAATTACTGGCAATAACAGAATTACTGACACTTTATTCCTCGTTGATGTATACAATTAGCTGCTTTATAAAAGATCCAAGTTCATTGAAAATGGCGGCGATCAAATCGCCTGGTATCCTGTACATCATTCAGTTGTAATTCATACTTACACGCTTTTTCATATGCATCAAAACCGTATAAACAAATATGTTTAAATAATCAATTTGCATCAAATCAATTGACCCAATCTTACCTGAATTGTGACAATTTTCTTGTACATTAGTAAACTATCTACTTTTTCACAGGGGAAAAAATAAATAGAAAATCCAGTTTTATGCTTAGATAAATACGCCCACACCACAAATTGTATACTTTGAGTTTAAGAGTTCTCAGGCGTCTACAAAATCTATGCGATTTTTTGCCTTCTTCTTTTAGCCCATAACAACACTCCTATTGGCACCATAAAACGCCAATGGTTACACTATTTTCTTTAGGATAGCTTATAGAGCAAAATATAATGAAACTTGCTATATCTTGAGCTGGAAGTATTAAAGTGTACTTCATCGCATACAATAGACGAGCAACATATCAGTGAAGGCGCTTCCTGCACTATAAATAATAAAGCGTGTAAATGACACACATAAAGTGAACGCCAAGTCGATTCCTAATGACCGTCGAGAATGCATGGCGTAAGTGTGTAAAGTACACACTGAGAAGTGACCGCCTAGTTCTACACACTGCGACCAATGATATGGTCTACTTGCCTAAACTATCTGTGCTGGAAATATCTCAGATTCATCAATCGACTGTTCAAATCTAACAGACGGCGATGTTTTTTTTTCACGTTTTCTCCTTATCCGTCGTTACCGGAAATGACAGCATACATACTTTGTAAGATGGTGATCATGATTCTGAAATTATTTTTCCATTCGATGCAGTAGTTCGGGAGAAAAATGGAAAACAAGAGATCCTTTTAACACATCTAGCTCTTTACACACTGAGATTCTTCATCTGGAAAAGGTACGCACTTCTCGATGTCGAGCGAACGTTTAGAAGATTTACACACTTAGGACCACACTTTATTTATTAAAGCATGCGCTAATTAAAAACAAGCGTGCGCAGGCCATGGAAACAGCGTTAAACCTGAAAGATACTGATTCGTTGGCTGATTTTCTTTATGAAATGGCAAATTAGAAATATACATGTACCTCAAGGATTTCATGCTGGAAGAATGCAACCGCTTGTCACAAGAGTATCAAAAATAATTTCTCTTGCATTTTGAAATAGCTTCTGAGCCTCTTTTAAGTCTGCAGTGTCTTTAACAAAGGTCAAGACGCACAAAAAACTAAAACAGAAAAATATGCGGTTTGTCAGAAAAATATTGACACTAGCTAACACTCAATGTTAGAGAAACCTTTTCAACTGTTTTTCTTGAGCCATTAATAAACGAGAGTAAATGCCTTTCTCATTGAGTAATTCTTTGTGTGTACCTTCCTCACGTACTCTGCCGTGATTGACAACAATTATTTTATCACTATTTTGTATAGTTGATAAACGATGTGCAATTGTCAATGATGTTCGATTCGATTGCGCTTTGTAAACTGCATCTTGAACTAACTACAAACAAAAGTTTGCCGAGGAAAACTGTAACAAAAATTTGACATACTTTTTCTGATTGTGAATCAAGTGCAGATGTTGCTTCATCGAATAAAATTACCATAGGATTACGCACCAGGGCTCGAGCAATACTAATTCTCTGTTTTTCTCCTCCACTCAACTGTGAGCCTTTAGAACCACATACTGTATCATAACCCTAAAAAATAGACACTAACCTTATCAGAATAATAGATTTTTCGACGTGTGTTAAGATTTTAATACAAATGAGAGAACTAACATAGAAGATTCGAGATGAATAAGCTTGTCTGAAGTGCCGCTAAAGTAGTTTCTATTCCTTCCCGAATATAAGATGAGTACAGTACTACCTAGTACTACGCGGTACACTACCCAATACAACTCAGTAACTTAGTACTAAAATCATAGGGTCATTTCTGAAACATCTGCCACCAACATTTTAATATTTTTATTTTTTAGCCTTTTGTTTGTTTCGTTTTCTTATTACTCACTTTGATGGATTTTCTAACTATATGAAAACTTTATCTGTATCTGTATAACGGTTTCTTTGATTTAGCGCAGATATGGTGAAATACTTCATCTAATAAATAGTTTATACCAACTTAGTACTGACTAGTACTACTCACTATCTAGTGCTACTCAGTACTAGCTAGTACTGAGTGATCGCATGACTGAGAGGTGCGGGGGGCGGAGGATGAGAGTGAGTTGCGAATGATGGTTAGTGCGACCGGACCTTCCCTAGTGTTAGGTAGTACTGGGTAGTACTAGGTAGTACCGTGTAGTACTGGGTAGTACTGGTAGTAGAATTTTTCTAAACACACAGATTTGTAGAGCAAACGTTTCTGATCAAAATAAGACCTCGCACAACTTGTATGACCTTGCATCAAAAAGTTACAAGCATCTTCCTAGAAGTTCTATAATTGAGTATTTCATACAGCGTTTAATACAACGTTTTCTCTATATAAGAGTTACACCTGAAGTATTTCCCAAGATTTTTTATAGCGATTTGCCATAGAGACTTTATTCTTTTTTGCTTTAAAAGAGCAAAAGAAACTACATCGTCTGACCGGCACCGATTTTTGAATTAGATCTCAGTTTTTTGTCAAACTGAGGATTTTTAGAAAATCCGAAAGGCTTTTTCGGGTGTTGGAGGCTATTGGTTGCCTGAAAGACCAATAAAGGCTTAATTGAAAAATCGGCGCCAGTCAGTCCATGTAGTTAGGTGTTTGGTTTAAAATATAACAAACCCGAACTCTCCAACTTGAAGTATATTAAAAAAACTTGGGAAACACTTCAGGGTCCTTGTTTGGCCTTGATCTCTATAACTCCGGAACTGTAAGAGTTGGAGACAAAAAGAAATTTTCATTCCCGTAACTCATTAAGCCAAAAATTTATAGAGAGCTTCGTCAAGATTGGATGTACGGGTGTCGAAGATAATTTCTGAGGGGTTCGGCCTTAAAGAACCACCTTAAAAAGACGACTCTTAGACAAATACCCTCACCCTCACTCTGGGAGGAGTTTTACTGAAGTCAGTAAGTGACACTTGTTTTGATTTATACTTGATTATACTTTTATACTTTCTAATAGATAATAAAATAGATTAAGATTATTGAGGTAGAATATTTACACTTCTTCATTTACCTTGGGCAATGCTATGATGAATTCATGTATATTGGCTATTCTGGCAACAGTTTCGATTTCTTTATCGGTCATGACTTTAGTATTATCGCCATAAGCGATGTTTGTTTTGATACTAATATTGAATAATACTGGTTCTTGTTGAACAAATCCAAATAAAGACCTCAGCCACTTGACATTAAGAGATTTTATATTATGTCCATCTAGTAACACGGAGCCATCACTTGGATCATAAAATCTTTGTAGGAGTGAGATACAAGTGCTCTTTCTGAAATACCAGGAGATTCAACTAAGATGCACGGAATGCAAACTTAAAGTGAAATCTTATTTTCGAACATATCAGACACCGTTGGATAAAGGACTTCGAGGCGATCACGAATATATGTGCTTTGAATTTTTTTGATACGTATTTTTGGTCGAAAAATTGAAGAAATTCGACAGGTGTCAAAAATCGAAAAAATTTGGGTTCTT